TTGAATGTGATATAAAACATCTATGAGAAACCCATAGGTATCATCATACTTAATGATAAAAGGCAGACGTACTTCCCCTGAAAAATCAAGAACTATAGAAGGATAACATCTCTTACCACTTCATTTCCACATGGTTCTCGACAGGGTAATAAAGCAAGGGAAAGAAATAAAATGAATCTACATTGTAAAAGAAGTAAAACTATTCTATTTGCAGATGATGTAATCTTTTGTGGGAGCTCTCAATGACCTTTTATATTTTCCCACAGACACAGAGTCTGTCTAGTTGATCGTGTGGATTTAATCTGCAGCTTATGCAGCTGGTGGGAGGGTTTTGAGTCCTCTTCCTTAGTCATACTGCCCTTGGGTTTCCATTGTGGTTTTATTTCCACCTCTGGATATGGGTTGTCCACTGGGGTTTGCTCCTGAGACTGCCTCGGAGGACTTGGGTTTGCCCCTGTGAGGGCCAGGTGTGGAGGTGGTGCAGCTGCTTGAGTCACAGGGGTTGTGGCAACATCAGGTACTCAGGGGAGTTGGCGGCTAGGGCAGCAGGAAGTATAGTGCTCTAGAAGGGTATGGCAACCACTATTGGCCAATACACTCCAGTATTCTTGCCTGGAGAACCCCTGTCCATGACAGAGAGGCCTGGCAAGCCACAGTCCCCAGGGTCACAAAGATCCAGACACTACCGAAGTGACCCTGCATGCGTAGACGTAAGACTTTTTTTGTCCGTGGCAGCTCTGCCCCAGGGCGAGTTGACCATGAACGTTGCACAGCAGCTTGGCTTGCGGGGCCCCTGGTGGTGCCAAGTGTGCAGGGACTTGGACTGCCTCTGACACGGGAGTTATGGCCCTATCTGAGTCTTCTTTCGAGGCTCTTGTAGCTGGCGATCAGAAGGCCTCTTTGGCCAGTCTTTCTCCATAGCTCCGCCCATTCAGGCACTCAGAGGCCTTCCTTACCTGGGATCCTTCTCTGATCTTCCAGCATCAGGCACTGAAAGGGGCACCCTGGGTGGGGTCCTACTCTGTAGTTTCGTGTATCAGTCACTTAAAGAAGCACCCTGGGTGTGGTCCTACTCTGTAGTTCAGTGGGTCAGGCATTTGATGGGCCAGCCTCGCTATTGTTCAGCTGCCAGTGCTGGCATGTGGGGTTCGAGAGGCGATGGTGATGGCTCCACGCCCTACACATGACTCAGCAGTATCACCTTACTTCCATGGCTGCCCAGATTTCCTCCACAGGTATTTCCCACCACAGTCTCCGCCCTCACATTCCCTCCATCTGTCTCTCTGCAGTCAACAGCAGCCCTTGCCCTGGGATTGTTCCACAATCCCGAAACTCCATCTCCCAGGCACTCCACCATCTAGGGTATGTATGGCTGCAGCAAGGATGTCTGATTCCCATTCCATTTAGGGTGCCACAGATGAGCTGTTTCACTCTCGGCCTTAAATGTTTCTCCTCTGACTCAGACAATTGCCCCATCTGGGGATCGGACCCTTGCTTCAGTTCCCCCACTGACCAAGGGCAGGTCCAGTCCTACTCACACTCCTGTTTTTTCTCCCTAGCTCCCTCATCCTACCGAATTTTATGTGGGTCTATATATTCTTTTCCACTGGTCAGGTGCTGCTATCGGTGCTCGGCTGGTGTTCTGCATGCACTTCTGTGTCTGAAGGTATATTCCTGATGTATATTTGGAGAGAGATGTATTCCCCTTCTATCTACTCCTCCACCATCTTGTGGATCCATGATATAATCTTGTATACAAAACATCGTGAAGAACCACCCTCTCCCCATAGAAACTGTTAGACCTAATACAGGGGCTCGACAGGTTTACACAATACAAGGTCATATACAAAGAGCAAATAGATTTCTATACACGTTCAGGACTTGTACAATACAAATTACAAAACATTGCTGAGTGAAATGAAAGACAGTCTAGATGAGTGGAAATTTTACTTCAGTTCAGTCGCTCAGTCGTGTCCAACTCTTTGGGATCCCATGGACTGCAGCATGCCAGGCTTCCCTGTTCATCACCAACTCCGAGAGCTCGCTTAGACTTTTATTGACTCTGGAGATCACATTTGTAGATTGGAAGACTTTCTATTGTGTTAAGATGGTAGTACTCCTCTAATAGAGGCCTATCAAAGTTCAAACTGCTCTTTTGCCCTGGAAATCAACAAACTGATCCTAGAATTGTAAGAACTGAAAGGGTCCCGGGATAGCCAAAACAGTGTGGAGAAAGAACAAGTAGTTACACTTCCCAATTTCAATACCCACTGCAAACCTACAATAATCAAGACATTATGGTACTGACATAAGGATTGTATATAGACACATAACGGAATAGAATGGAGAGTCAAGAAACAAGCCCATATCTCTATGGTCAGTTGATTATTGTGAGGGGTGTAGAGGCCATTCAATGGCAAAGAATAATGTTTGAACAAATTGTCTTGGAAGAACTGGATGTTCACATGCAAAAGAATCGATTTCAACCTATACCTCACACTGTATATAACAATTAACTAAAAATTGATCAAACACCTAAATATAAGAGCTAAAACTATAAAGCACTCAGAAGAAATCAAAGATGTAAATGTTAATCTTGAATTAGGCAATGATTTTGTAGATATGATACAAAAAGCACAAGAAGTAAATGAAACAAAAATAGGCAATTTGGAATCATCAAAATTAAAACTTGTATCCTTCAAACGATGCTATCAAGAATGTGAGATATCTAGGGCACCTACTGAATGCTCACTGGGAGCCTTGAAACCCAAGCGGACCAGAGGAACACCAGAGCAACCCTGCATGATGTGTGGGTGGGGAGCGAGGGGGGAGGACTTGGGGTTAGTGTTCCTGAGGGTCAACTAGGGGAGGACAGGTTTTCCTACACCTGCAGAGTGGGGATGGGGAGGGACCCTTGGGTTCGAAAATGCTCCCTTGGGCTATCTGCCATCAGACTCCTTCCTCCACTCCTATACACTGGCAACCACAGATATATTTCGGTGCCTATACTTGTGCCTTTTCCAGGAATCCGTTGACATGAAACCATATAATACATAGCTTACTGTGTCTGACATGTCTCATTGGCACAGCTGAGATGCATCCTTGCTGTTACATGCATTAGTAGTTCCTTTTTAAGTGACTGTGTGGTATTGATTTGTACGAGTATACGCTTTTGTCTTTCTTTTATCTATATACCAGGTGTTGAATAATTGGGCTGTTTCTAGGTTTGGCTATTAGGAGTACATGAGTAGAATATTTGAGTAAAGGTCCTTGTGTGAGCATGTTTCCCTTTCTCTTGGGTAAAATTCAAACTCCTAGTAAGTACGAAAATTCCCACTAGAATAGAATAAGAAGAAGAATGTGCTAGTGGAGAAGAGTGAAGAAATAGCTACAGAAGGAATGAAAAGGCTAAGCCAAAGTGGAAACAACACCCAGTTGTGGATGTGTCTGGTGGTGAAAGTAAAGCCCGATGCTAAAAGAACAATATTGTATAGGAACCAGAGGTATATACAGAGAAATCAGTTACCAGTTCAGAGATTTAAATGTGCAGTGCTCCAAGCAAAAAGTAGAAACAGAGGTATGGATTTATGTATTTATTCCATGGAAATGAGTAAAGCCATTGCAAGCATGATGGAAAACCCAGAAGCAGACAAAGAAATGGTTCATCAAAGCATGTATAAAAATAGGTATTAAAAACCTTAATGTCTATTTCTGTCATGTGTGTCTTCCTGAGCCACATTCTCCACTAAGGTAACCTGGGACTACCTATCACCACAGTTTGTGGATGCATAATATAGACTGCCCTGGAAGGAAAACAATATAGTCTTCAAGCCCTTTTCTCATCCTCCAGAGATCCTGCGGTTCCAGGACTCTACCTGAGTGGCGGGAAAACCTCAACCTGCACTGCACACGCCCAACTCAGGGAGCATGCGCAGTGTGTGCGCACGCACCTCTTGCTGCGCATGCGCCTTGGTGCGCATACGGCTTCCTGAGCGCCTTCTGTGAGAACCGTTGGGCCCGAGACCGGTGTGTTTATTCAGTTCCGGTTCTTTCTCACTACTTGAGACTCACCAGGTAGGTTCACAGGTTCACAGATCTGTCCTGTCTGGAGGTTAAGTGTGCGTGCGTGTGAGGGGGAGCCAGCGAGTTTCGGGCGGGTCGGGCAGTGCCAACTGGGGCCTTTGAGGAGGAAGGCCCTCGAGGTCATCATCTTTCTCCTCACAGGTGTCGAGACGCCCTAGTTCTTGTCCTCGTGGCGGGACAGGAAGGGCCGTGGGGAGAGGAGGGCAGGGGGTCAGATGACAGTGGGGGGAGACTTGGGGGTGCTGTTTGAGATATCTGGTTCATTGGGGCCCTAGAACTGATGACAGCACAGAATCTGGGGCCGGCAGTGGGACCTGGGCAGTGGGCGGGGTGGGCGATTAAGGAGAGACCTAGAAACAGGACCGCGGTGGGTTTGTGACCCTATCGCGATTTTTGTGATAAGGTGCCAAGAGAGAAGTGGACCGGTATGCTGTGTATGCAGACTCACCTCAGTCACAGACGCTGAGAAAATCGCCATAGTCAGCCTGTAAAGACTAACCCTATCTTCCTGTTCCCACTGAATTCCAAGGGAGTTGGGGAAAATAGGTCTGGTGAATAGGAGTGTGACAAGAGCAATAGTCCTGAAGTTTTAAATTCCTAGCAGTATTTCACTAAATATCTTCATGATGGAGAATTCTTTTCTGAAATCAAACTTCCTCACAACAATTCTCTGTCTTCTTGTGTACCTTAAGGTGATTTCTCTGCCAGCTTAGCGAGGATACAAATGGCTTTGCAAGCAACTGTATTTGGTGTAATTGGAATGCATGTACACTCATACTTAACCAGAGTTTTCTTTTGAAAGTATTTTCACAGTTTTAAAACAGAGTAAGTCAACATATGGTCATAAAAGTGATCAAATATAGCTGTACTCTTAAATACATTTTCTCAATCACAATATTCTACTTTAAGGGAGAAATATGAGTGGGCAAGTGGCATCAACATTGGGACCTACAGGTCAAGCTTCTTCCCAGCTGGATAAACCTGTGGTTGTGAGTACCTTACCATTTGATATTTTCTATTAGCACAAATTTACTTTTGAGAAAATGATGTTAAGTAATGCAGATGCAGTGACAAAAGGTCTTCCGTGTTGATAAAGGGTGACAGTTTGTCTTAGGAAGGAACACTGATCCAGATATATTACAGTCTGGTGTTACCTGGTTGAGTATACTGTGAAATTCCCTGGAAATGTGCCCAGTGACTCCCTCCTCCTGCTTATTAATAACAGATTGCACACTTCCATCTCAGCATAGATTTAAATAGCTTCCAAAGTCTTTCTGGGTAACTCTTATCGGAGCTAACTCTTCTCTGTGGGAAGAGTAACTTTATTAAAAGTAAGTACATAGAATTGTGTTGGGAAAATGTTGTTAGGTTTACTTATGATTAGATATATCTGTGTATTATGTATATTTATGCTGTTAGATGTGTTAACAACAAAAAGATTTATTTGCATGCACACTCTCCTAGGACCAGCAGCCCAGTGTTGAGCAACCTCAACAAGAGGAACCACCAGCTGAGATTCAGGATATCACACCTGGAAAGGAGGAAGTCGATGGAGAGGATCCAGTGAATCCTGATGAAGAGAGGGAGAAGGATGCCCCTGGAGGTAAAGTGTATGTGTGCATCATGTCTTAAGACATAACCAGTAAGAGGAGGAAAGGAAACATTAGAAAAGGACTTCAGACAGTTCCTAAAAAACTGAGGAGAGTAAAGTTTGCAGGTTAGTGTGGTCGCTCAGACGTTCCCTTGTTTTCAAGACAAAGAGGAGGGGGCAACTGAGTTGTCTGAGGACAGCCCTGGGAAAGAAAGATGGTCATAACATCTGGAAAATTCTGCTTTCCTTTTTCTCCAGCAAAACATTCCTGGAATAATGCTCCTGAGGTTCTTATTCATCACATTTTTACCAAACTAGCCTAAGGCTTTTAATTCATAACACAGAGGGGATCAATATTATCATTCCCTTGTTTATAGTATATGGTTTACAGCTGAATTGATAGTTTTTTTTTTTAAAGATTCTGACCTGGAAACTGATCTCCAGAAATTGGCTGTGGCAACGACTGGGGGTCAAGGTGGAGATGGTCCTGATGTCAAGGAGGAGATTGCATCAAATAGAGAGCCTGTTGAAATGCCAGAAGCAGGTATGTCATCCATTCAGAAAGTAATTTATGTGATTTCTGTTTTTCAGAATATTGTATCTTTAATAATATAGAGGGGTCATTACTATTATTTTAATAACAGAGCTCACATATTCTTTGAAAGATAGTTCAGACCCCATTTGCCTGAGTGCCTGACTTACAGACTTTTGAATAAATAAACAGACAGGATCAAAGCCATATCGAATTGAAAATAGGAGACCGTTTTCTTCTCTTGTATAAGTACTTTAAGCAACAGCTAATAATTTTCAGGTTCTTTTATAATTTCTGCTCATAACAAATATGGAATGCATTTGTCATAAATATCAGTTTATATGAAATATACTCAGGCATTCAAGTAGGTTCTAGTACCAGCTTTAACATAATGTGTGTGATTCTGTGAAATCCCTTAACTTCTAAACTCAAGTTTATTCATATAAGTTGTGAATTCAGAACAGATACACTAAAATGCTCATTTTTCAAAGCTAATTTTTGCATTCTCTGATTCTCTTTGATGGAATGCATACAAGAATACTCTTTTTCATGATGTATTTATCATAAAATATCATCTTGAGTCTAATTATAACAGGGGAATTGAGATTTCATTTTCTGATGGGGGACACATGTACAGCCGTGGCTGATTCATGTCAATGTATGGTAAAAACCACCAGAATATTGTAAAGTAACTAGCCTCCAATTAAAATAAGTAAATTAATTTTTTTAAAAAGGAAATGAGCCAACATTCTGCTTCATGTTTGTTAAATTCTCTCAAATTCTGAATTCTCTAGCTCTTAAAAAAAAGTTGGATTTTCAGTCCTTTCCCCAGTGAAGCATGAAATGACTGAATAAAAAAATGGCAAAAGATAGTCTACTTTCCTGTTTCTGAGGCTGATCAAGTTGAGAGAGTGCATGTAGTCAGTGATATTCAAGGCAGGTGTGAGGAAGATACACATGCTAAGCACACTACCTGCCCCCACGTTTGGTCTGTTTTTTTTGGGGGGGGGGAGGGTTGCTTATCTTAATTGGAGGATCATTGCTTTACAATACTATGATGGTTTTTGCCATACATCCCACTCTCACTCTTAAAGAACTAATAAAAATCTGAGCCTCATGATATAATCGTCTCTAACCGTATCAAGTATGTTATTTTTCCTCTTTGATACATGAGTTTAAAAAGTTTTGAAGGGCAAACATTGTAACTCTCGTTCTTCCTGCGTGATCAACTTAGTATCTTTCGCATATGTGTTTTCCGAATTGCTGACAACTAATTGCATGGTTCTGATTTTAAAGGAAGAACTTCATAGTTAGGAAAGAATTTACTGTGTATTAGCTTTCTAAATATGTTCACTTTACATTTTTGTTCCATTCCATTAGAACATTTAGATGAAAATACAGGTTTCAGACTACTTTCAAGTAACTACACAGCATGATTAAAATGTTCTCATAGAAAAATCTTAGCCCTAAATATGTGTGCTATTTAAAAAGAAAAATACATAAATTACAAAGCCCATAAATATAAAACCCTACACCCAACATAAAAGGTAAGAAAAAGAGCAACAGAATAAACCTAAGGGAGAAAGAAAAAGATAGTGAATAAAAGACAGGTATGAATTGTTAGGAAGAGGAAAATAAACTCAGCTATTAATAAAGAAAGACAATGTGCTAGTTTACATAATTTTTTAACATATATATACACACACATTTTTAAATATTCTTTTCCATTGTGATTTATCACAGGAGATTGGACATAGTTCCCTGTGCTGTATAGTAGGACCTTGTTGTTTATCCATTCTGAATATAATTGTTTGTATCTGCCAACCCCAAATTGCGAGTCCATTCCTCTCAGTTTACATAACTGTGAAGAAAATGGACAGAGCCCAAGTATACATAATAAGAAATATGAACCCAGACAATAACAGTATCTTACAGAATTAAAACTGAGTATAATCTGGAACTCAGATATTTTCAGAATATTTATTTTTCAGAATATTTTCAGAAAAACAAATATTATTTAACATACCCCACAGTAACTAAATAACAGAACATCACAAATTCCGTGGATGAACTTTTGAAATTGGTCAGAGTTGTCTCTGAAAAGCCCTAATTATCAGTTAGAAAGAAGCAAAAATATCTGCTTTTCCAGATTTTCTTTCTCTCTTACTTGCTTTTCTCTCTGACTCATACTCCCTCTTGCTCTCCCTTTTCTTTTCTTCTCTCCTTTTTCTCTTTTCTTTTTTTGGTGTGGCTGTGAGAAACAGTCGTATTTCTGCTTCACATTTTGATGTCACCATGTCGCCAGTGATAGTAATGACTTAAAATTTGTGTCACCATATAATTTATTATACCAACTGGAATGCTTTCCATGGTGAAAAGAAACATTTAGAATTACATGAGGGCCACAAGTAAAAAGGGGGACAAATGTTTAACCGACTTAAAACAAACATATCAGGGATAAATTAGAACAAATGAAAATTTCTACACTTTTCCACAGTAGAGAAGAAACAAATGTAATACTGGCCTTTTTATTTACTTCACTTAAGCAGTAACAGAGATAACAACTGTTTAGTTATCCTACATTCGGACTATTATTTCAAACCAACACATTTGAATGATAATTTTTGGGGACTTTTTGTTTCATTTTTTGTGTATTTTGTTTTTCTTAGGGTGTTTTTTGTTGTTAGATATTTTACTGAATGTGTACACAGTGTTGCATTCTACCGAAAACTACCTTCTGATAGGTTCAATTGGTTTCATTTGTTTTGAACTCAGTGTCCTTATTTTCTTGTATAACTAGGAAGAATAGTGTGTTTTCAAAAATACTGGTAATATGCTTGAAAAGTCTATAAAGTCTCTAGAGAGGATTAACTGAAGGTAAGCCAAAAGGTCACCCTTATTGTTCTTGTTTTAGTCCATTTTATAAAACTACACCTGCAGTAAACTTTGTATACCTCTCCTATCATCGAAATAAAGTTCTGCTAAGTAACTTCTTTAATGTTTATATTATAGGTGAAGGGCAACCATTTGCTTGAAAGAAGATAAGCTGAAACAATCTATGCTGTTCTTACGTTGTATATTTGACTGTTAAAGTTCTGTCAATAAAGTTTCATTTTCTACTTGCACATTTTTTGTTAAATTTATCCCTGGATGTTTAATGTTATTGAAAATTCATGGTTTGTGATTTTTATTGTCTAGTTGAGGATGTATGTAGAGATAGAATGTTTGTATATAGATTTTCTGTCCAACAGTTCCTCTAAATATGCATATTAATTCCACAAATTTAAATCTAGATTATTTTTGCTTTTCAAAATAGACTGTTATATTTGAATACCAACAGGTTCTACTGGCTTAAACCTTAAACCTTTCCTCATTTTGCAGCATTGAACAAACCTAGCCAGAATAGTCTTGACTAAAGCAGGTGATAATCGGCATTTTTCCCGATAGGAAATGAAAAATCTTCTCCATTCCAACCTGTTTACATTGCTTTTTTTGTAGATATACTTTATCAGAGTAAGTTCCATTCTATTCCTAGTTTGCTGTTTTGAATATAGATTAATTTTCATCAAACACTGATAATGCATCAATTGTGATGATCATAGAATTGTTTTCCCTCCATTTTTCTATTAATATGGTGAATTGCAGTGGTAACCTTATACATTTAAACCACCCTTGCACTTCTAGGGTTAACAAAATTTGGTCATAACATATTCTTTAGGTGTAATCTACATGTTAATACATATACATACATATATATATACCCACACATAAAAAATTCATAAAAGCCTTTGGCCTTCTCTTGAATAAATGGGTTTACAAAATGTGCCACCCGAATCTCATATGGTGTCCCTGATGAAATCATTGACAGAGAAACATTTTTTAAAACTTAATATATTTGTATTGTCCTATAGAGAAATGGAATGCCAAAGCCATTGTTAAAGGTTGTAGGGAGACAGGACAAACCTGCTGTCAAATTCCATGGCAAATGCCACAACATATCTTTCACACATTTCTGACTTGCCTTCCAAGTTTTTTGGGGGTGCAGGGAGAGAGCAGCCACAAATGTCTTTTCTTCTCAATGACGTCCTCTATTGGCTTGATAGTCACCAGATCTCAGAAGCCCTCCAACGGGGTGTGTGTGTGTGCGTTAATCACGCAGTCGTGTCTGACTCTTTGTGACCCCATGAACTGTGGCCCGCCAGGCTTCTCTGTCCATGCAGTTCTCCAGGCAAGAATACTGGAGTGGATTGCCATTCCCTTCTTCAGAGAATCTTCCCAGCCCAGGGATCGAACCCTGGTCTCCTGCAGATTCTTTACTTGTTTGAGCTACAGGGAAGTCCTCCAGCTGTCTGATTCCTCCCTTATAGCCTTATTATTGCATAATAGCAAAACACTTAGATTTCTGAGGTCCCATCTGCATCCTCATGCACCAAAAATATATATTTCTGCAACAAAGGACCTATTCAGAATGCACTCTGCTTAAGGAATAACAGGGGATTATAAATAGCAGCTGTTGTGCCCTTAACAGAGGTATGAAAACCCAGGTCCAAAAGGACTGAAAATGGGAGGTTCAAATCTACTATGAGACTTAAGTTAGAGTATCCCATCTTACCAAAAAGTATGTGAAAAAGCCCCTAGATCATGGAGCTGCCTGACAAGATTAGATCCTAGCTAGAAGAAAAGGGAAAGGAACAAGGGGAACTGTGTGAGACAAAATGACTTGAGTCTTACCTGCTCTGTCTCCTTATGGGCTATTGAGAGGGTAACAGGCAGGAAGGCCAGGGGTCTCCAAATGGAGGAAATAGGCTGCAAGTGTCAGACATTTTTCTGTCTCTTAAGAGGGGCAGAAGGAAACAAACTAGTGGTATTTTTTTCCTTCTCTATACAAATTTGAAAGGTTTCTCTTAAAATATTGTTGCCACAATGACACCTGGTTTCACCTGAAGTTAACTATTCTCAAACCTTGAGTTAACCAGTGCATTTTTCTTATGGAAATGTTTGTCTTAAGCTAT